ATTATTTATATTAATTAAATATATAATCAAAAAATATTACTAATTAATATTATAAATAAAAATTATTTATATGAGAAGTTTGCTAGGAAAATCAGATTCTGAGAATTTTTTTGACTAAAATTAAGATCTTTTTATATTTAATCTAATAATATCAAAATTAAATATAATAAAAATCAAAATTTCATTAAAATATTTTTCTATTAAACTTTCCATATAGTAAAAAAAAATATAATAAATAATATTTTATTTAAAATTTTAAAATTTATAGTAAAATAAAATATTATTAAAAATTGTGAGTTAAAATCTATAAAAAATCTATAAAAATAAAGTTTCAGCATTTTGGCATTTTAATTATTAAAGATTAAATAGTTTTAGTTTTATCATATGACTAAATATTTCAGTTTCATCCAGCATTATTAATCTATGCTTAAAATTCATTTTTCTACTTTTCTAATAAAAGATTAGTATTCAATATTTTATTATACTAATATATTTTGAATTGCTTTTTACATATTATTTTTAGTAAAAACTGATTGAAAAACTAAAGCAACTTGTGGTAAAGAGTAGGATATTAGATTTATACTAAACATAATTTGTATTTAATTAATAGTTTAACTTTCATTTAAATTTAATACATATTCTAATCACAAACCTTTTAGCTTAATAAAAAATATATTAATACTTTCAAAATTTGCAATTCTTATTTAAGTATAAAAAAGATCTACAATTGATTTTTAAAAATTCTAAAATTTGAATATTATTTATTATACTAATAAGTAGTTTAATTTTAATTTAAATGTATTTAGGATATCATAAGAATAAAATCTTTTTTAGTTAAATTTTGTAATATCATCTATCATTTTATATTTATATTTTATTCTTATTAATACTTTTAAAGTAATATTAAGTTTTGAATATATTTTTTACTTTTAAATATTTTAGACAAGATTTTGAATATAGAAAAATATGTTCATAACCTATTCAAAATTATCCAAAATCTCAATATTACTTTAAAGTATTTGAAAAATTAATAGTAAAATTATTAATAGTATATGAATTATTATTTGGTATTATTCTTTTAGTTTAAATTTTAAAATACTACACTTTACCATATCATCAAAATTTTTAGCATTTGCATTTTTTAAATATTAGTATATTTAATTCAGGAAATAATTACACTTAAAATGATTTTATTTATATAATTATCAAAAGGTTTCTATCTGATATATTATTTGAATTGTATAAGAATAAGTATTATTAAATTATATAATAATTAATATCTAGCTTTCATATTTCCTAATAAATTATTCTATAGTACTAAAATAATTTAACAAGAATTTTTTCTTTAACCTTTCACTTTTCATATTTTCATAGTATCAGTTTAAAATTAATATTCTAATAAACTTCTATTCATGTTGCATTATTATAGATGATAAATATTTCATTGATATAAAATTTGTAAAACAAATTTTTCTTATAATAATTTATTATTATAGTTTGCTTTCTTATTATAATATCTTTTATCTAATTTTAAATGCTAATCTATAATTAATAAAATTATTAATAATTTTATCTATTATTCTTTAATAAGATTTTTCGTATTATTTCATTATCTTACTCAGCCTTTACATTATAATATTTTTGTTACTTACAGACTAAATTCTGATACAAATTATTCTCTTTTTAATAAATTTATCTTGTAACTTTTTTATTTAATTTATTAAGATTCTTTAGTTATTATTAAATATTCAGATAATTATCTATAATATTTTTTAAATTTTGTAATTATGATTATATTATCTTCAGATTATATTGATCTAAAGAATTCCTTTATATTAGAGAATTTTTTTTTTGATAAAATAGCTTTGATTCTATATCTCAATTTTTTCAACCTACTTTTTAGATTTTATTAATAATCTTTCTAAGCCAAAAATATATTTTTTCATATCTTATATATCTTTTTTAATTTGATATAGCTGATTTTTAAGCTAAATATTTTAGATTTTAATTTTATTTTTCCTTTTCTAAAATATTTTTAAAATACTCTATTCTTTATTAAGATTTTAAATTATATATTCACATTAAATATAATCTTATTTTAGTTGATTAATCCATTTTTTATTTTAGTAATTAATTTTTTTACCTTTAATTACAATACTTCTCAAAGGTAATAGTTATCTTTCTCTAACTTAGCTTTATACTCTTCACATATTCTCTTCTACTTTGAATGAGATTTATGAAATATCATGATTATAAAAAAGATTTAAAATAAGAGAACTGATTATTATTTATATTGATTTTCAAAAAGTACAAATTTTAAATAGATTTTAATACCTATTTGATTGCCTTTCAAAATACTGAGATAGTATAAAAAAGGCTTTTATTATTATTTTTATAATATATTACATATTTATCTTTACTATATCTAAATATATATTAGTATTAAGGTAGATTAATGCTATTATTTTTATAATAAATTACATATTTAATTACCTTATATATATACTATAAGGCAGGATAGGCTTTTTTTTATTATTTTATATAATGTTATCTACTTTAAGTATATAATATATACCATATATGTTTGAATACATATTAGTAATAGGATATTCTTCTTCTATAATTATATATAATATTTTAAAGATTGTAATTTAATTTTTATAATTAGTAACATTTTAATTAAAGATGATGTTTCAATTAGTTATAACAAGTGACAAATAAGTATCGTAATATTATACTAATTGCAATATTATTAAAATCAAATTGTAATAAAGTATTATAATATTACAACTAATTGCAATATTATTAAAAATTAAGTTGCAATAGAAGATGATAAGCATCACAATGTTGTAATATTATTTTTAATTTTAGTTAAAAAAGGTTATAGATAAAGGTAGTTCCCATAATTATTTTCAAATTTCAATTAAGTTACAACTTAATTGTATTATAAGAAAATTTAATTACGTTATAAGTTGCAATTTAATTGCACTATTTTTTAATTGTGATATTCATCTTTAGTTATAAAGTAACAAAATTAAGCGAATAGCTCAAAATAATAAAAGATAATAGAACAATAAAATATGCAAATAACTATAAGATAATATAAAGGATACAGAGTAATAAAAAATAAACAGATAGTATTAATCATAAAAAGATCACTAAGATTCAAAAATAAATAGATAACAAATTAACAAGTTTTAGCATAACAAGGCTATAGAATCCTATAAATTCACAACTAAATAATAATATTTTTCATAAGTAAGTAATAGTCTATAATAACTAGATAATAATACCCAATAATTATTTTAAAATTTATAATAAATTATTAAATATAAAAAGATGTTAGTAAAAAGAATGAAATCTGAAAATTTAGTTTCTAAGCTAATTTTAAATATGATTGTGATAAGTTAAGTGAATCTATAAAAATTATTTTTATCATAAATTTCTCACTTTCTTATTGATTATTACAAAATTTAGATATTTAACATTTATATTATTAATGATTATTTACTTAATCATTTTAAAAAATTTTATAAATCTTTAAAGAAATTATTATTATTTTTATTTAGAATATATATTACTATAAATAAATAAATATATATAATTTAAATAATATTATATTAAAAATATATAAATTATATATTTATAATAATTTTTTACCTTTGATTTTATTTGTAATATATTATGAAATATCATGTTAAAAAATAATTAGTTTATATATATAAGAGATTTATCTCTTAAACTGTAAAGCAGATAAAATTTGCTTGCAAACTTCAAAAAATAAAAGTATTAATTTCTTAATAAAATATGAAAGATTAATTATAAAATTATAGTTTAATATTTATTTATTAGAAAATATTTGAAGTTTATTAAGTTTTTTAAGCTTTAGAAAATTTATTATGAATTAATTGAATCATTTTACTATAATAAAAGTCAAATTTCTTAATAAATTATAAAAGTTATAATAATTAAAATTATAAATTTTGTTGTAAAGATCAATATGAACTTTTTTTTGAAATTATTCGTTAATTAACGGATGACCAATAAAAATCGTTTTTTAATTTTCAAGTTAAGATCTACCTGTCATACTTAATTTTAAAAAAAGATAATTAGGGTAAAGAAGAATTTATAAAAGAACAAATCAAAATTTTCCATAAGAATCATAACACAAACAATACGAAATCATTAATTTGATAATAAATATTCTTTATCAAAACAATGCTTTATAAAAAAAACATAATATTAGTAAATAAATAATAAGTAATATAGAATAATGAAAATCAAATTACAATGTCATCTGATAAAAAATTAAAAAGGGATGAATGATTAACATAAAAATTTAGATTCAACCCTTCATATGCAAACACGAATTGTTTCATGTTGCACTGCTTTTGCATACCTTTCTCTAACATTCGTTCATATTATGATACGGAAATCTATCCGTAACCACTACATATTCGGACTTAATGAAGTATAGCACAGCAGATAATAAAATTTAACTCCAATGATACGATCGAACTTTCAGAACTTTGAACAGTTTGATCTTTTGATTTATGATAAAAAGAAAATACGATAATTTATTTTCTTTCTTATTTGGGATATTAAGAAGAAACTTTTACCTTTAAGTAACCTTTATTAAAAAAAAAAAAAAAAAAGGAATGCAAATCGTTCAATGGTATTAGTTTGGTTTACATTATTTACATTAAAAAAATTTAAAATTAAAGTACGTTATGTATTATTTGGTGTGAAACAAACCACAAAAAAAATTTTTTTTTCTGATTATCGATACTTTGTTGTAAAAGGGGTTTGTCAATTTTTTTTTTTTTTGTAGGATCAAAAAAATTAAGGTGCAAACATTTTTGTATAAATATGTGTGCTTCAAAGCTTGGAAAAAAAAAACCCATTCCCTTTTTACACAGCCGAAAATAAAAAAAAAATAATTTAGGAAACATATCTCTTTTCTTTTATAATCAATAAAAGAATTTCTCTCGAGTTCAAATATGTCACCACTTGAACCTTTTTCCAATCAATCTGTTGATTCATCAACCGAAGAAATTGTAAATGATGAAGTAACATCATTAAATTATCAAAGGAAACCTTTTACAAAAGAAGCGACGATTTTCACAAAGGACAACGTACCAACGATCCTTGAGATTAGAAAAAACATCCCTTCAAAATATTTTAATCCATCAATTAAAAGATCATTTCAATATGTAGCATGGGATCTAATAATCGTATCAATACTATTCTTGACATTCTACCAATTAAATTCAATCACATCTATCCCTTCGATTATAAAAAATTTTGTCTTGTTGCCATCATATACTTTCGCTCAAGGTACTATGTTTTGGGCCATATTTGTTTTAGGTCATGATTGTGGTCATGGTAGTTTTAGTCGATACCCTTTATTAAATGATATAGTCGGTACATTCTTACATACATTAATTCTCGTCCCTTATACTACGTGGAAACTGAGCCATCGTCATCATCATAAAAATACCGGCAATATCGATAAAGATGAGGTGTTTCATCCCGTCAGAAAAGTCGAAGCCGCTAAAATGAGCGGTAATGATGCTGAAACGAAAATTATACCTTATTTTGGATTTGGCGTGGGTTGGTTGGTTTATTTGATACAAGGTTACGGACCAAGAGCCGTTTCTCACATAAACCCTTTTCATCCTTTATTTCGTAAAAATCATTTGGCAGCGACAATTTCTGTATCAACAGTTGTTATCAATTTATCATTCTTAATTTACTTGTCTAGTATTTTTGGTACCTTTTCGATTATAAAATATTATTTTCTTTCTTGGGTCGTGTTTGCTAGTTGGTTGGTAATAACAACTTTTCTTCATCATCATGGCGTTGAAGAAAATTTGAAATTACCTTGGTTCTCAAATGATCAATGGAATTACGTCGTCGGTAACCTTTCATCGGTAGACCGGGATTACGGTATGTTACATGAGGTGACCCATTCCATTGGTACTCATCAAGTTCATCATCTTTTCCCCGCAATACCTCATTATTATCTTAAAGAAGCCACATCATCATTTCAACAAAAATATCCTCATTTTATACGTGAATCAAAAGAACCTATCATGAAAACTTTTATTGATATGTTTAACGTTTGGAGATCACAATTTCTTGTCAATAATGATACCAAAATCTTCATCTATCAAAAAGAAGAAAGAAAAGAAAGAAAGTAAATCATCTAACAATTATATAGATTATAACTAAAATAACATTGAATTTCTTAATAATATTACTTTTGAAATGTTTGTGTATGTATGTACAATTGAAAATATTATGCCGGTGGAAAAAAATTTGCAAAAAGTACAATTCCACTTCCACCATATAAAATAAAATAAACCAACATTCCATATCCTAATAACTTATCCCATCTGTTTGCGTCTTTGGATAGTGATTTAAGAAATAAATTGGTGACAAACCAATAAACTATAGGTTGTGAGGAGAAAAACCTCGTAATTACTTGTACATGCATAACTGTGATTGAGTATACTAATAAGACTGCCCATAAATAAATGAATGGTAATAATTCATGCGTTCTGTAATAAGGTGACGATGAAGACTCTAAAGTAGTCTCGGATCGTTGTTGTAATCCCAGTGTTAATATCCTTTTGAGATCAAATTTAGAATAACTATATATTCCATAGAATGATAAAAATATCATTGGGGACGCTAACAAAAAATTTGGAATTTGTTTAACTTCATAATATTTTAAAAATCCACCATTCCTACAAAAGAATTTTCATATTTTATTAAAACATTTTTCTTTTAAAAAAAAAATCTCTCATCATAACAACTTACCAATAAAAGGATTGAACAAAGGAATATAACAATGGTATTGTATCATTACACCATGGTCTTCGTGGTAAATATAAAATGCAATAGTGATAATACCCATAACTTTGAAACATTAAAAATCCAAGGAGAACTATAATACTCAAAATTATAGTCTTTAGCAACCTTATAAATATAACCTGAAAATGATCAAAACTAATTTAGTTTGTTAACCTTCCATTTTGTCTAAAATCATCAATGTCCTTATACTTACCTTTCCGTTAATCCTGTTTATATCTTTAATTAAGAATTTGTACACGAAAAATCCAACCTGAGTGATTCCATTCGATCTTGTGAATGAAGATAAACTCCAAATAAAAGCTGCACTCCATGATTTTCCCTCATAAAACAATCTCATACCAAAGAAATTTAAGAGTGCAAATAAACTTTCAGTGTACATTGCCGACATAAACATGCCAGATGGTGTCAATATGTAAAATATTGATGTTACTAATGCATATTGTTCATTATTATTAAATATTAAAAGACTTAATCTATCAAAATAAAATGACAATTAGTAAATACTAAAATTTCATATAATTAAATTAAATTGATTTAACTCACTTGTATAAATTAATTGACGCCAAAATAAAAGAAATGTTAACTATTAAAACTCCCGATAAGAGTAATATCTGCTTATATGTTAAAAAATATCCCAAAGGTAAAAATACTATGATCAAATATCAAAAGAGAATTAGTTTGGGACTCCGTTAAAAAATAAATAAATCAATCCTGATCTTTTTTTTGACTTACCTGAATTACTTAAACCTCTAGCTAAAAGTGGTAATAATGGAAAGAATGCGTGTTCCTGTTCATAAATGTATCCCTCTTCACTCAGATGTATAAAGTAAAAAGAATCCCATCTTAAAAATGCTTTAAAACTAACATTAAATATTTTTTGTACTATTGATAACTCTTGACCTTCTAATATCGTATCTACTGATGAATCATAATCATCTACTATAAGAGTTGATATTAATGCTATTATCCACGTTAAAAGTCGTGAAATTATTGAAAATTTTAGTATTAAATAAATATGTTTATTATTGTATCTGTCATAAGTAAAAGATTTGACCGTTTGAGAGTTTTGTGGGTCCATGTTAAAAAGAATTTAAGACCGTGTTTTAAATTAAACCGAACAGTGTTTAAGCAATGGTATCAATCACGTGATTATAATTAAATTACATCACGTGATAGATCAATCGGTCTCTCGGGTAAATCATTCGTGATTTTATCCGATAGCATATTACGATATCACTGAGCAACTAATAATAATTTATTTATTATTCCAATCCTTACTTCCCACTCAATTAATTAAATCTGTATGTAATCGCTGCTTGAATATTTTTGGAAACAATCAATAATTTTCATATGAATATTTATTATATTTATTTGATTGGAACCCAAGTTTGTAACATTGCATTTAAAATTAACTGTATTTGTACTAACATTCTTAACATTATAAGACCCCGGCAAATAAAAATTTTAAGATTCTTTTAAATGAATTGGTTTTTTTTTTTTTTTTTTTTTTTTTTTTTTTTTTTTAATAAATACATAAACGAGAAAATTTTATTATCTATATATATAATTTAATTTAAATTTTAAATCTAATTTTTACTTCGTGCATCAATAATACAACACCAACAAATTGGAAATTTTAGGCTATCGACGCCTCACGTATTTTTTTTTATCATTTGGAAGCGTATTCAAAGCCTCTCGAGCAGCATTTCTAGTGATTCTCCTCGTTGGCTTTTGATAGCGCCTTCTATCATTAATCGGACGAGCTCTTCGAGGAGCAACTTCTTCTTCATCTTTGGTCTCTCCTCTCTCCCTTTGCCTCCTTTCCCTCTTTGCTCTCCTTATACTATAGGAAGATGATGAAAGTTCACCCTTGTGTTCTCGGCGTCTTTTCTTCCTATTTTCTATACTTGTAACTTTTTCAGGTGTATCATTCATCAGTTCGTCAGTATCTTCTTCAATATCATCAACTTCATCAACTTCATCAACTGCATCAACTGTCATATGCGTTGGCGGATGCTCACTCTCCGATTCAGATTCTGATGATGGCATTGTTAAAAAAGTAGTTTTTGATTTTGATCTTGACTTTAATTTTGATACCGAAGAGGATACTTTTGTATTAAATTTTTTAGATGAAGGTTTACGAGCAGATTTCGAAGAGGAACCTTGTGATTGCTCCGTTAAATCATGTATTATATCGTCTTTTTCAGTACATAAAGTTACATCAGTTACATCAACACGTTCATTTTGTTTGACACTTTTAATAAATATACCATCAGCGGGTTCCTTTGGTTTGTCACTTGAAACTTTGACGTTCGTTTGCATCGACGGAATTATAGACCGATTCCATGACACATTCAACCCAGGTTGTAGTGGAGGTATGACTTGATCAGACTTTGAAAAAGGAAGCTCTGATGAAACTTTCGCAGGCTTTGAGTAATCAGGATATGATACCGTTGGTACTAGCGGGGGCAACGTTATAGATCCCCTTTGTAAATTTTGCTCTGTAGGCTTCATCGACATCGACGTCAACGTCGATGATGATGTGAACATTCTTCCCGAAGATTCGGTTGATGACTTGGAAAATGATGACTGTGGTAATCGTGTAGCGGTTCCTACTTGTGATTGTGAAGATGATTTGGATGGTAATGACGTTGTTGTTCGTGGTATTTTCGTCCACACAGTCGACAGGGTTTCATTCGTTTTGTTCGTTGCGTAATGCGAAGGAACAGTATCCCTACTATCCCTTATCTGTGAAAGTTGCATGTTTTCAAAAAGTTCTTGTCTCGCTTTCATACTAATTGGATACGTTGCGATTGGCCGATACAGGGGAGGGCCATCCTCAAAGACCCCCAATTCCTGTATGGTTGGTAACCGCATACTTCCATTCTCATAATTATCTGAGCCCTGAACAAATGATTCTGGTTGTTGTTGATGTTCCTTTTCTAGAAGAAAGAATTAAAAGATAATGAAACTTACAGTTAGACACACAAGTAACGAAAGGTAACGAATGCTTCGATGATGGAGGATTATCCTCATACGCACCCAATTCCTGCATTGCTGGCACGTGATCATTATCTTTATTCTCCTCATTATTTTCAGAGTCTTGAACGAGATTTTCTGGTTGCGGTTGCCGATCATTTACTAGAAGAATAACGAACACAACGGTTAGAGACTTGAGTGATCAAAGATGACGCTTTCTAAATTTAAGTAAAATAGAAAAGAATCTTTATAATGTTCTCACCATGTTGTTCTGTGACTTTCGTAGCTTGTTCCGTGGTAGCTCGTTGTTCCGAGTCTTTCATAGCTTGTTGTGCTGGGACTTTCATATTCCACCTCTCTCTATTATTGATGATACTTTGAGGGGGTTTCGGCTGTATTTTTCTAAGTTTATTGTGTCTCCGTGTTACAGACACTTTATCTATAGAGTCCTTCGAATCTCTTAAATTAAGTAATAGGTCATTATTTGCTTGTATTTTGTCAGTATTTTGCCCTTCGCCTTCTCTTAGACAAGCCATCAAGCTAGCAAGTTCTAATTCTTCTGGTAATTTGCCCTTTGCAAGCTTCTGTATTTCAGACTCTACTTCAGTATTTTCAATATTTCCTGAAGATCCTGAATTAGAAGAAACTTTATCTATGCTAAAAGGAAGTCCAGAATCAACGGTACTAGAAGAGACTTCATTGGGGTTAGACAAATTTCCATTGCGACTACTAGAAGAAATTATGGTGAGTTCAGAAGTAACCGTGGCGATCTCAGAAGAAATTCCGGCGGGGCCAAAAGAAATTCCAGCGGGATCAAAAGAAATTCCAGTGGGTTTATTAGAAGAAGAACCACTGGGGCTGGAAGAAGTTCCGGTGGGGTTAATAGTAGGATTATAAAAATTTCCCGAGGTATCGTAAGGCATTCCGGCGGGCTTATAAGGCATTGCAACGGGCGTCATTTTAAAAGCGATGGGTTTAGAAGATAAAGGTATATATGAAATGATAGGTCTAGAATAGGATTTTGTTCTGGACTTTGAAGAATATTTCGAGGAGCCAGAAGCTTTCGTGGGTCTAAAAGAAGTTGATGAAGATTTGGGGGGATTAGAGGAAACCTTAACAGGGTCGGTGGAAATTTTAAAGGGGATTGGGGAAATTTCAACGGGATTAGAGGAGACTGCAACGGGATTAGATGATCCCTCAACGGGATTAGAGGTGCCTTCGACGGTGTTAGAGGAAACTTCAACAGGGTTAGAGGAATCTTTAACGGTGATAGAGGGAACTTCAACAGGGTTAGAAGAAACATCATCGGGTAGCAAGGAAACCTCAACTGGGATATCAGGTATTTCAGGTATTGAGGAAACTTTGACCGGGATAATGGCATCATCAGGTATAGTGAAAACTTCAGGTACAACGGAAACTTCAACCGTGTCAAAAGAACTATCGGAGGGACTAGAAGAACCCTTCATGGTGCTACAAGAAGAATCCGAACTATCTGATATAACAATAATATTTATGGGTTCATTTGGAACGTCCGCGGAATCAGAAGAGTCCTCATCGGGGTTGGAAGGAACTTCAATGGGATTGGAAGAGTCGACGTTGTGAATAGGAGACGTTGACGTGGTAGTATTCGAAAGGCCAGCATCGGAAGAAACCGTAACATCGGAATCATTTTGGGGTTCGACGATAGGGGATAACTCCGTACTGAAGAAAAAATAAGCATTAGGTAAGTATTCGTTATTTGAATGAAAGTTCCACTTTAGAATGAGAATATGAAGAAAACCTAGTGTCATGCGTCACGTCATAAAGTCGTAGCTGTTCTTTTAATTGAGGGTCTTTAATGGCACTATAATATACGGTTTCCATACGGCTAGAACGACTTCTTATTACTTCTTGTCCGGGAGGTGGACCTCTCTTTTTACCTGGCTTACCAGGTTCACACGGTCGCTCAACCTTTAGACAATACGTACAAGGAATTTCACCTGAACACTTAATCTTTCGTCTTTGGCAATTTTGGCATGCCGTTGTTACCTTAAGACGAGAGTTACCATTGTTCTTTTTAGTCATATTAAAAAGAGCTTTATGTATATATATATGTATTGGAAAGAGTAAGTGTATAAAAAAAAAAAAAAAAAAAAAAAAGGTTCACCGTATAAATTATTTTTCAAGAAAAAAAGGGGGGTTTTAAAGTTTGAAGAAACCTCCTAACAAAAAGTGCGAGCCAAATAGTGATAAAGCACCGTTTCAAAAAAAAAAAAAAATATTCAAAGGAGACTTCCAAAAGAAAACAAATTTTAATTTTTTTTTTTTTCCTTTTTCGTAAGAAAAAAAAAAAAAGATAACCAAAGGTATCTTTTTGAAACTATTTTGAAGGTAACACAGCAAAGACTTTTGGGAGTGAGAGTTTTATATATAGAGAAATTTTTTAAGTTTAAGAGAAAGGGTTGGAAAGAAAAAAGATCATTAAGAGCGGAAAAATCTCGGACTTGCTCGGAAAAACCTTGCTATACCCAATATCAATAGTATATATAGTTCAATCTTGGTTTAGTGAGTCAATACGCCTTACATCCTTGCACTACACTCAAACAGGAAATCCGATTAGCGAATTAGGAGATACGAGCCATACACAACATCATTTATTGCAGATTATTTTGGTTGTACGACCAAACTTTTGATAACAACGAACGACCAAAATTTCGTTCGAATCGGAAGGGTCGGCAGGCTTCTCTTTTTTTTTTTATTTATTTTTTTTTTTCTTTCTGAACAAATTTTTTTTTTTTCAGGTTTTATCTGACACTGGAATAACATCTATTGGCTCAAAAAAAAAATTTTTTTTCTTGGGGATTTTTTTTTAAAGTTTGGCTCATGCATGTGTAGTAATAGTCATCATCATCATCATTACAAAAAGATTTATAAGAAAAAAAATCGTTTAATTGTGTGACGAAATGGAAAGGTTTCATTGAACGAGAGAAAAATTTTTTTAATTTATTCACACAATGTGGTTAATTATTATTATACGTATAGGCCCGTGACCATTTTGTCAAAAATTTTGGCTTTCTTTCTTTCAAGGTTTTGACGGTTTAATTGTCGCAGGAATAATAATATATGGGATTCTATTATGAAAAAAAAAGTACAATCTTTTCGAACTAGATTTGAATCCAGAATGTTGTTAGCATTCTTGTAAATTTCTCATGATAATTCGTCAATTTTATAATCATTATTATTCTTCATGAATTATCAAGCGAGATGATGTGAAAATTGGGAGTTGTACTTTAAAAAGTTTTACCAAAGGAGGGATTTATGTTACACGAAACTATAAAATAACTCTGAATGGAATGTTTGAATGAGTCAATTGTTCCTTCTTTTTTATAAAAAAAAAAAATGTATGCTATATAAAATGGTGTGAAAGAAAATATTCAGTCAAAGGACGATAAAAATCATCAATCCTAATACTATTCGATATCTCAATTACTTGACACAACGCAGAAATACGCCTTTTTTGTCAAATAACATTCGCATTTGGATTGTTTACCATGATATACGTTCGAATTTACTAATATTATTGAAGATCAATCGTCATATGTATCATGTATCTCTTAAATATTGATTACATTATCTAAGATGCATCCAACCACCTCACCAATAATTTGAACTTAATTATATGGTTTGTTTTTGATCCATTGAAATAACGAGACCAAAAATCGCCTAAAGAGCCGATTCATAAGTTTCACTTTTTTTTATTTATTTATTTTTTTTTTTTTCTCCTTTGAATCAGATTTTATTTTCATTTTTTTTTTTTTGCAAGCCTTTTTTTTTTTTTTTCAATGTTCTTTGACATTTCCTGTGATTCCATCCCTTGAAATTCTCATTTATTTGTAAAATAGACAATCATTTTTAATTTACCTTCTTTTGTGCATCTTAACTATATAAATTCATAAATAACCCAAAATTTGTGCAATCATGATTACATATTGTAGTAAACAATAATTAAAAAAGCTTTGTTTATCAAAATAAAAACAAACGCGGTGTACCATGTAAAATCTATTAATCACAGTTATTATCGCAGAATAACAATCTCTTCTTAAATAATTTTCGTATTGGATGTTCAAAAAAAGATAATGTTGAAAACTAGTATGGGAAAATGGGTTAAAAATAAAATTGGATATATTATCAAATAGGAGTTACAATAATTAAATAGTTAAATTAATTATTTATTTATTTATTTATTTTTCGAGAAAAACCTTTTTTGGGCGCTATAGTGCCGACAGTTTCACCGCTTGGAAATGAGTCCTTTCTTTTTTATGACTAATTAATTTGTCATTTTCCAAAGGAGATCCGAAAATACTAGAACATTTTCTTTCATAAGCCACAGAGACAACGTACTATTGGCGTCTAAATTAAATTATCTGGTTATCTGGAGAGTATAAACATTCCCAGTAATTATTATCATACGAGTTATTGGCCAATGAAAAGTACCTTTGATAGAAAGATTTTTGGATTCCATGTTTATTTCATTACTTATTCACATGCTTCTCGATACATAAAGGTTACACGATTACACGATGTTTTCAATTTCCTAAATTAATAAAACCTTTGTCAAATTTTAACCATTAAGGTAATTGTTAACGTTTCTAAAGACACGTCAGTAATTTTTTTTTTTTTGATAACTTACGTTGTTCCTTGTTCCTGAATAAAGAAAGGGGGGGATACTTCTCAAAAAACGATGATGTACATATACATGTACATGGTACAACACTCGAAATAGAATTTTTATAAACTGTCATTATATCTTTGTTTAGCATTAATAATGCATTTATTTTTTTTTGTGTAACAAATATAATGCAACATCGTAAAAATTATTATCCGCGCATCATTTATCATAATAGAAAGTTTGGATACCCCTGACGTAATTTCGATTTATTAAAGGGAAGTTTCGTACATAAATCCCACTATACATGATTTCCAAAGCACAATTGGGCAATCCTGCAAGAATTATTAAAATTAATAATCCGAAGCAGGAAAGCTAAATAATATTATTTAAATATGTCATCATTTCATTATTTTCGAATGTAACAACTAAAATGAAAGTCTCAGCAAGGGATTTCCCGTTTTAAAATTCAAATTGTGTTCTAATATTCGATACCGAATATATACTTGTGTACATTAATGAGATCCAAGTCCTTGGTTAAGTTCCTTTCGTCCTTTTTTTATTTCATTATAGATTTATTTATTTATTTTTTTACCTTTTTTTTTTAGGATTTTTCTTTCCCAGGTTTGTCCTCGATATTTGATATGAATTTCGATGTTTTTAATTTTTAGCATATCTAGACCTGATTCTTTTATAATTTAGGGGTAAATTTGTTGTTTAGTCTACGTGATATAAATTTTTAAGATCGTTGATTGAAAAAAAGATAAAAGATATTATTTACATCTATATCTACTTTTGCAAAAGGTAATGAAATATTTGAAAAAAAAAAAAAAAAATTTAAAAATTTTTAAAAAAGATAATGATCTAAAAATGGATTTTTTGACCATTCAAAAAAAAAAAATATGATTTTGTCAAAAATAAATGCTATTTTCATTTATGACTCAATGAAAATTTAAGACACTAGAACAAATAATACCTCTGACGAAAAATAATAATAAAAAGTGTCCATAGCGAGTTGTGTTTTGATCAAACTGATAATCAAATGGCGCATTAATGGCAAGTTTATGAACTGGTTCACATCACGTGTAAGCGTTATAAAATGGTGCATTTGGGTTAGTTAATTCTTTTTAAAAAAAAGTTGATTTCTTCGTTTAATCTATTAAACAAAAATAAAATCATATTAATAATTACCATATGTGTCGGTTGAACAACCCTTCTATTTCTTGCTTTTTATCTGCGGGTAATATCGGAACATCTTTTTCATTGGATACTTTAATTTATTATAATGAACACACACCTAAATTTGGCAGTTATTGTCCCTTTTGGTACCTCTTTTTTACTTTTATACCCCGAATTATGAAAAAGGAATATTCTTTTAAAGACAACTGTTCTTGGATTCATTCATCCCATTCAAGAGAAGGTAAATGGCTGAGGTTAGGTGATGCACTAAGTTTGTGTCACAAACAAAAAACTTTCAACTTTTCCATTTTTATTATGAATTGAGATGAAAAAAAAAATAAATTTGTCAAAAATACACACAATATATATATTTTTATTTACAAATATTTACATGCAAAATGAATTTATTAAAAAAAAATGTCGCATTGTCTGATTTTATTTTTTTTTTTTTAGACAAACAATGGGAATTTCATTTCAATTGACGACAATATAATAATAAATAAAAATTAGATTTTATTTTTTTAGACTTTTTTTTAGAAAAAAAAATTAATATCTAACTTCTTCGCATATTAAGAGTAGATCTCAAACATGTTAACTTCGGCTCATTCGGCACTTTTAAATATAGATTTACTATACATAATATTTTCAAATTTTGAATATCAGGATGATTTATTTAATGGTTTGCTTGTACATTCTTATTGGGCTTTGGTAACTTGTCAATTATAATTTTATAATCATTCAAAAAGATTTTTAAACATTATTGTGCGAATTCTCTTTTTCTTTTTCTCTTGCAATATTTTTTTTTTTTTTTTTTTTTTTGCAATTTTCACAAATTGCTAAATCTCTACTGTATCATATCTAGGCTATCATTGACAAATTATGGAAGAAACCGACTTGGAAATCTTATAATGTCTTCCAAAAGTTTATAAGAACACTTCGGAATTCTTCCACAACTTCATTTAATTATGGTCACTTTGTACAACAAATAACATTCGCTTCATATTCATCA